AGGCTTAAGGAAGCCTAGCAATAGCAATGTGAACTTTTGTTTTGACTTCAGTAAGCTTCAAAACAATCCTTCACTGAGGACGAGGTTAAAAAGTAATTTGAATCCTTTGAAGTGGAAGTTGATTAGCTGACATTTGAAGACCTGCTTGAGATACTATTAAGTAGCTACTGATTGCCTTAAGAGGAGTGGAACATCTGGTGTGAAATGTCTTACTCTATTCTAAAAGGTGCATTTCTTGCTAAGTACTTCATATATTCAAAGGCTAAATTCAGAGTCTTTATTTGTCTTTGCACCATCTATAAGAAGTTCTTCTAAATAACTGCACATCACTGTGAAAAGTGATTGCTCATTATACATCAAAAATGCCATTAAATAAAACTATGAGGAGATTTTAAAAGGTTGCGTATCTAATAGTGAACCTTGAAGCAGTCAGACTTTCTTTTTGTGCATTATTAAAATATCTCTCTTAAAATGAGACATCATCTGTTCATTCCATCATGAGGGCCACGACAAAATAAAAAAGTGGAACTAATTAACAATCATGTAATAACAACAAACTAACACAACCTACGGAGCACTTTTGCTTCCTATATATTTCATCTGTATGCCTAGGAAGATGCATCCTATTTATAGATACAGATTTCTCACATAAAGACATTTTACATGTAGGAGAATGAAGGTGGATTGAGGATAGAAAGGGATGAATATGGACCATTGCTCCTTTGAACTATCATAGAGTTTGAGGAGGAAGATGCAGCCACAGGAGTAACAGCAGTGGGAGGGAAGAAAGACACTGCTAATTTCTTTTATGGTAGTATAAGACTCCAGACTCTATTATAAGGGGAGTTTATAATGAACTTTTTATTTTTTTTTTCCAGTGGCTACTGAGAATACTGCTACAAAGCTGCCTTTAACTTCATCAGGTTAGTATCTTTAATAAAACAGATGCTATTTTTTGTTGTCCATAAAACATGAAAAATATAAGACTTCCTGTTCAAGCGGTGTGATTTACTATAGTTGCCTTGACTGTTGGGGCTTGACTGCTAGAGGTCCAGTAAGTGACATCTCAAGCTGCACTTCATCACTTCTAGGCATTTGAGAAACCAGTAGTGTGAAGACTGTGAAAGCTTTAAGAGCTTAGTTAAAGATTCAAAACAAAAGTTGAGTCTCTGTCAGCCAGCTTGTGACTATAAACTGAAATTTTGTTCTGAGCAATGTGGATAGATTTTCATTCCAGTATAGCTAGAACTCTTAGGACAGTCTTAGGATGCAGACAGAGCTTCTTAGTCTCACAAATTCACAGAGTAAAAACCTTCTCAGAGTAAGTCAAACAGTTCAGTAGTCAAAAAATTCAGTAGATGCTTTGTAGTGCTAGATCAAAGTACAATTACCACATATAAATTGAAATTATTCTTAAGGGTGGTGCACCATAGCAGACACCTCATACAAATTATGCAGGTGAAGAAATACACCCTATATATAGGCCAGTGTGTATAGAAGAATATATGTATTGATCCTTGATTTATAGTCTTAACATTGAAAGAATTATTTTTAGACCAATTACAGGGGTACTAACATGTGTAGTCCAAAGTATCCAATTATGACAGCTTATTACCAATAATGATACAATTAAAACTGTTCAAACACTCTTTTCCCATTCCTCTCTATTTCTTTTATAATTGTCCTTTCAATGCCTCTCTGTGTCTTAAGGTCAATGTTGCTAATCATTCTCAAGAAGAAATGGGGCAGGGTGTGAGGGCATAGGAAGGGGAAGGGAGTTGTGAATTTTCAGCATATTTGGGAGTAATATTGGTGGGTATTCCTTCCTCCTTGATTTGAGTATGCTTGAGTCTTTTTGATGTGTTTGTTAACACTGCTTATTTGTTCTTTCTTTATCAGTCTATGGTATGATGTGTTTACGTATGCTGCACACTTCAGCTTTATCTAGCTCAGAAGTTATTTTAGTGATTTCTTCCAGTAACTGGCCATTTGTGGTTTGTTTTATAATGCCATTGCTTCTGTTGTTATGCTGTGCTTTTACTTTCCTGGCTTCTATCAATCTGTGTGTACACTTTTAGAAGCCCCTGTATCAATCCTGCTTTTCTTCAATAGCCTTCAAGTTGTAGCTTCCTTCCAACGTATTTGTTATATTAGCTCACTACAGTCATGCATACATCCTTGTTCTAGGGTCACTGAATGCTTTGTTCTCTAAAATATTCTAATGACAGAAAGAAGGTATATAGACAGATAGTTAGGTAGATAGGTATGGATAAGGTACTTTGGTAACTACCCAGAGGCTGTAAATTATGTATTTTTTGAATACAGCTTTGTGAGAGAGGTCTATCCAGCGCTATAATCTCCCTGCATCTTTGGCTGGGCTCTCCTATCTTTCTGTGAGAGGAACTGTCTTTTCAAATACGCTAACACAGAATACTCACTAATCCACTTAGCATAAACTAACTTTCAGCATAGCTGAGCTTAAAGGAGAGGCTCCATTATCTGTAATAACATGGGAATCAATTTCAGCTGTGGACATCATCATATTCAAATACTATACTATGTATACATATATATGTTATACTATATATTTGCATACTGTACTATATATACTATTCGTGTAATATATGAAATAAAAATACTACAGAGGCATGCTAATGCAAAAAAGCAAGATGAAGATTTTGGGGGAGCTGGGAACCTCAGGGCCATCTTCAGTATCTAGATTGTTATTAAAAATGTCACTAAAAGCAAGGTGTGGTAGAAGTAACAAGCATCCCATCTTTTCCAGGTACTTCTGTTATTTAATAATGAGTAATGTAAATCTCCCTATATATCTATGCATTTGTGTATGTGTAACTATAGATACAAACATTTGTGCATATATTTGTATAAATACCTAAGTCTGAGGCTCTTCTGTTACTGTAATAACAGATTGGCTGGATAATGTTTTATATATATATATTTATATATATATAAATGTACATAAAAATTTTAGATCTAATGCTGAAGTTCTCATCACTTCTTGTTTCAACAGATCCCATAAATCTAATTACAAGCTCTCTGGAACCAACTGCAGGTCAGAACTTTTTCGTATCATTTGAAGAAAAAAAAGCTTTGTTGTTATTTCAAACGGGAAAAAATGTCTGATGAAGTTACTAAAAAAGACTGAATAAGGCTTGATCAAAAAGAACTACATTATATGTAAAATAATGAAATTTAAAATACTCTAGATTTTTTTCACTATTTATCTCACATTTTTCTCAAAATTTGATCTTCAGGAACAGTTTACTCATTATCTATACAAGGGATTTGGGGATACATTGACTAATGCATGTTACGTAGCAGCAGACTAGCTACTGCATAGTTCTGCCCTAGCGTGTGCAGAGGGTATATCGGGGAGCAAGCAGTAATATTCTAACCCTGGACTTGTTTACCCAGGTTCAGGACAACTCACTACAAGCAAGTCCTTAACAACTTTAGGTAGGTAACTTTCATATGGCGGCAAGCTCAGAAAACACTCAAATTTTAGTCTTTCACCATTTCTGGACACACTGTTTTTATACCAGTTCTTGCCTCCTCTATCTATGAATACATAATACATAGACGTTATGTAGATTTGGCAAACAAGTCCTTTCAAAGAGAAAGGACTTTTAAGCATGTGCCATCTAAAAACAAGATATGTATGGGATATATATATATCCCACAAGTGCTCATTTTTGCTTTGTATTATTTCTGGAGGAATTCAGAAAACATGACAAAGATAATAAACTTTTTTTAACTTATATTGGATGAAAAAAACAAGCAAGCTCTTTGTATACTTGAAAGCTTTATTAAACACTGAAATATATAAGATATTACTCATAAGTATTTTCAAATGCTGCTAATTCATTTAATATCATTTGTTAGTAGGAACACACTGTTAATATTGCATTCCATCGCAATTTGTTTTTTTGAAAAAAGTCAGAACATTTCACTAGAATGTGTTAATTTCTTTATGATCAGTAGATGGCACTGCTGCTTAGTTTTTCTGCTCGAAAGACTAAAACTAGAATTGATCATGTCCTCCATAAATATTTCCTTGCATATTGAGCTTCTTCTAAATATATTCATCGATGATGGGTAGTGTTTTTGTTCTGTATTCAGAATGAACAATCGCATCTTTGTTTATCTGTGGCAACTCGTTTGCTGTTCCTTCAACACCTCATTAAAATGTTTTTGGTTAGGTCCAGTATCAGTTGAATGCAAGATGGCAGCTCCTTTACTTAACTGTATTTCATACAGTGAAAGTGTTTTGTAAAGCCCTAAGAAATACTGCAACGCATTCAAATAAATTGTAGTCTTTTTCTGTCAGTTATCCTGAATATTATGCATGGAATAACAAAGACACTAAAAGACTATTTATATAAATAAATATTTTGGTTCTTGTTTAAGAAAATTTGACCTTCGAGTCAAAATGGGAGCATTTAGAACTAGATCTAAAGTGAAATTTCAACAGGATCAGTTTACTAATTATCTACACATGGGATTTTTGGATGCATTGAATAATGCACATGTCATAGCAGCAGACTAGCTGCTGCATGGTTCTGTCCCAGCATGTGCAGAGGGGATCCTGGGGAGCAAGCAGTAATGTTCTAACTCTGGACTGTGTTTACCCAGGTTTGGGACAACTCACTACAAGCAAATCCTTAACAACTTTGGGTAGGTAACTTTCATATGGGGAGAAGCACCATATGCATATTTATAATATATGAAAGAGAAATAATATATATAATATTATATATATTGAAACTTATGTACATATATACATATGATATAATGAAAGGGAAATAATGAAAGCAAATAGAGGAAGCTACAAGAGCGATGTGAATAGTTTTCCTGGAATTTAATGAAATGTTCAAGATTTTTCTTTCTTCTCCAAAACTTACCTTAAGACTAAATTTAATCTGAAGCTTAATAAATCTTTTTTAAAAATGGGTGTTTCTCCCTCGAGATTTCTACTGCTTCCAAAGCCAATCTTAAAGATGTTAGTTTTTCAAAAAGTCTGATTAAAAATGGGTTTATTTGTCATGACAAAGTTTGACACTTGGGTATACATATTGAAGTTAAAAATTGAATAGCATTTTGTTCAAGTAAATGCACTGATTTTTGACTGTTATTAAAATCAAAGAGTAGTTTTCTTACATTGGTCAAGTATAAGAAATTGAATATTTTCTTTTTTTATGTGTAAAATAGTATAATTGGGCAATGCAAAGAGATGGGAATTAATGGAAATTTTCTTATAAAACTACTTCAAATTTAGTTTCAAAAATGTTACTTCTCCTAACTTTCTCAACTCCGTGTCGAATTATCTTTTATGGTATTTCACTCAAAGCTTCTAAAAAATGCAATTTTATAAAAGACAATAGAATGGTTTATTTGGTTTGTGCCAGAGTATCCAAATGCAAGTACATTTCCCATTGTAGTGTAACTGCATTAACGTGTGTTGTTATTGCCGTTGTCCATATTTCAGTTGAATGCCTTCCTCTTGCTGAACTTTGTGCCAATGGTGTAACCTGTGTAGAAAAAGACTTCTTTTGTGATGGAGTCCTGGATTGCCCAGATGGCTCAGATGAATCTGAAAAAAGATGTGGTAAGAATGTAAAACGCTGTCCTGCAGTTTTGTAAACATACTTAAACTTGTCAGTAGACTAAACTGCACAGTGAAATTGACGTCTATGAGAAATGAATGATTAAGAATGGTGTAATCATCTTTATTTTGTAAATGGAAACAATTTTCTTAAAAATCCATATTAATAAATAATCTTAAACTCAAATAATGAAAAAAAATTACGAGTTGGCCATGTTAATATAAAACAATATGTAAGTATAGCCACTCTTCATGAATTTTAATGCCAGTAATATCGAATAACATTATAGCCAAGTATGTGAAAATACGACCCTACATAGGTATGAAATCACATTACCCAGCATAGAAATCAGCTAATGCCATATTTGGAGCCAGGAGAAAAGTTTCTTTTCCGATGATTAATAATGATTTGCAGCATTAAGATGATGCTATTATAATGTTTATTTTATCCATATGATCAGAAAGTTTTGCCATGTTTAGAAAACTTAGGGTTTACAAAATCGCAGGTCTCTCATCTTGTCAAATCTATTGGCAACCTACAATTGGGCAAATCATATGAATAGTTATTTGTAAAATCACATAAGTAAGTCCTCCAATGTTTTTAGAATATTGAAGGTAGCAGATATGTTCTGCTGCATTAACTGTTACTTTTTTGTCAGTGTACTATCTTCTGCTTTTGCAAACAGCATTAAGTTGGGAATATTGTTATAAAATAAAGGAAAATCAGTTTTCTCTTGATGACCTTCCCGCACTAAAACTCAGAGCTCCAACCTGTGCTATCATTAAGATATCATCATACAAAACACTTTACAAATTTTCCAAGATGCATAAATATTCAAATATATAAATACTATATCTGATACATGTTTTCATAAAAAGAGCAGCTATAAATGTATTCTCCTTGTCAATCTATCATAAGTAAAGATATTGAATTAATAACTTTTAGCCTCATATACAGGAAAATTAGGCAGAAAATAAGATAACACACTCAGGCCTACTTTAATGTTCCTAGGCATAGAATTAAATTTAAAAGACCTATTTAGCATTTGCTGCTAAAATCCCCCATGCTTTAACTACAAATAGAGTCTCTAAACTAACGGTATATTGACTGCACTCTTAATTTTAGATAGACTTATATAATTTCTTAAAATACTATAATTAAAAATATGGAATAAATTAAATGATAGTCAATATTTGCCCTTAGAGAAATAATTAGCAGTAGTGAGGATTTTAAAGAGAGTTTAAGGTAGTACATATTAAAGACAATAGGGAGAGTTTCTTTTTTTCACAAAATATTTGGGAATATTTGGGAATTTGGGGAAGTATTTGGGAATAAATCACTGTAACACCTTTTTGAAATCAATTGTGACATGAACAATTGGGTTGTGAAGAGTGCAAGATGATGAGAAAATCATACAGACTTCAGAATTTGTTTTTTAAATGAGTAATTTTATATCCTTTGTCACCAGAGGGTTATGAGGAATCTGGAAAGTTTATTTGCATTCTGTGAGAATTTCCTTCTAAGCTTTCCTGGGAATAATGGTGGGGACATATTGGTCTGAGCTTTCTAAAATATTTAAAATGATGGGCTCGGTTTTAAAAACAACAAACAAAAGATTAAATTTTAAAAAGAATGTAAGTATATTCAGTCTCATACTGAAGGAAGGTGATATGATGTCCCTTTCTGCTAGAAACTGAATTTTCTTTAGAAAGAGGTGAGTTGCAGACCTGCCCATTTTCTGCCCTTTTTTTTTTTGTTGTTGTTGTTTTGAATGCAGTCTACTCCTCGGAAGAGAAGAGAGGCCCTAACACTGAGCCTAATCTTTTGGTAAAACATCCATCGAAGTAGCTAGGTAGAATATCCTTTGAAACATATCTATTAATGGCTATATCCTGACATATCTTAACAACAGTGGGCTCTAAGGAGTTCACTCTGCAGTTCAGGGAATCGAAAGTTCCTGAAGTAGCCTCAGCAAGACCTCTGTTCCACTGTAATTGCTGAGGCAACACAATCCCAAAGAATTATTCAGTCATTCTTCTCTGCCATTATACTGTTACTGTGGGATGTGGGTTTTGTTTTGGGATCTCTTTTTTTAGTGGAGTCCTTTTTGTGTAGATCTTTGAAAGAAGTGCAGATGTTTAAAAATGCAGTACTATGAATCTCATCAAAATGAATGCTTTTTGTTTGCTTTGAATTGTTAGGTCTGGGTTTACAATTACACTAGTTATGTAGGAGAGAATTTAATTGACTTTTCTACTTTGGTTGATACACACAAAAATCGGCTCATCTGCCCACGCTCAAAGCTATGTAGACATAACTCAGTTCTGCTGTGGAAGACAGGAGGCAGGAATTGTACTTGAGCATTTTAGCAGAGCTGTTGAGCTGAAGCACAGCTTCTTACGCACATGGCTTTTGGATCTGCATTGGATCTCTTCCTGAATCACTGCCAAATATAAGACCTGAGTGCCCTGATCCTCTGGAAGTCGGGATATTATTTGCTGTTCATAGTCACATTTCACCAAACAGTAAAAAAAAAAAAAATATGTACAACTGAGCCAAAAATGACATTTCACCAAACAGTAAAAAAAAAAATATATATATGTACAACTGAGCCAAAAATTTTTACATGTACATGCACCTGAAAATAGGCAGAATATCCTAAAGAAACTAGTGGCAGTTACAGTCTGCTCTGGATGACTTGCCTCTGTTCATTTTCACTGATGCCTAGCATTCACAAGGAATTCTTTCAGTTATCATTAGTTTCACAGTTTTAGTTCATAAACTTACGGGAAATACCAGAATTCTGGCTGGAGGAAAAGTTGTTGCTCAGGCTGTCACCTTATTTTACATTTTGCATCTTAGAATTTTCCATCCTCATAGCTTCTCTGAACATACACGTTTACATTTCCTAGCAGACTTTGCAAAAATAGTGGAGCAAATGTCAATACGACATATGCATGTCTGGGATACCTGCCAGTTTTTCTACCTCTTTGATTTCTCACTTATATCTTATCCCTAGAGTAATTTAATACAGACATATAAAAGTTGAGATTTTCTAGATTTTCCCAAGTCTGTAAGAATTTTTCAATGAGATTTACATACAATTTATAATTCCTGTTATAAGTTCTCTTGCACACAACAGAGTTGTTGCCCTCTGAACAACTCTGTTTTTTCTATCTTGATTATTATTCTCTTTAGTACTTCTGAGTTTTGCATATGTTAGTGGTTTTAAATACAGGATAGAAATGTGAACTTTTAATGGTCTATTTCTGCTTTAAGTACAGTTTGATCACATTTGTAAGATTCTCCTCAGAGGTTCAGGTAACTGAGTACCTTATATGTGCTTTTATTGATTAAAATTACCTTGAAAGGTTTCTCTCTGGATCTGTGATGGAATGCAGTAACAAAAAGCCATTACAGCAGTACGGTTAGCAATTTCATTGAAAGGGTCTCCAGAGAAATGTGGAAACTCTTAACAGCTTCTATTAATAATGGCCAGTATGGCTGAAAAGCAGCCATGTAGTACAGAAGTATCAGCAAAGAGCAGCTGGAGTCTGGGCCCAGGAGGTGTTTCTATTTACAGGCTGCAGCTATTGTATGTCCGGGGTTACATTTTGTTATTAAATATATCATAGCATTACTACAGTACTGAGAGAGATTAACTATTTGTAAACTGGGAAGTAATGTATTGCCACTGGCAGAGAAAGGACATATCAGCTGAAACGTGCAGGCTTGATCTGATTTTCTAGTTCAGGAAGCTCCCCTCTTGCATTCATTGATAATAGAATTACATCATGTAAATATTCACTATGTACAGTCTAATTAAGTAGAAATGGTCAGGGAGAGATGCATTTTGGGAAAGTCATAAAAGTGTTGCTACAAAAGATTTGTCCTATCTCATCTGGAGAACATTTTTTCTGTCAGGGAGAGGCAGAATTTTACTCACGCCTCTGAGGCTTCCAGGCTCTGACCAAAGCAGCCTCCTTGCTTTGACAAGGAAGCACCGTGAGCAACATCAGGTTCTTCAGGGAAATATGGTCTGTTCTTCATGCCAATTCCTAAGATGTTAAGCTTTTAGTCAGAGATGAGCACATTTTTGCTTCAATCTTTTTGTCTGTTTTCAAGTCACTCAATATCTTATAAGAAATAATAATTAGAAACAATCAAAATAAGAATAGAAATGAATTGTGGGAGAGAGTAAATTTTTTATCATTAATTTCATTACAATGATCTGTTGTATCTTTTTTTATTGTCAGTGCAGTGAACTCTATGGTTTATAGCACAAACTCTTTTGTAAGACGAGTCTTGTTAACACTTATTAAGAACACCACTCCTTTGCACGCTGTATTACTAACATGAAAAAAAAACTAACGTGAAAGAAAAGAAAAACAGTAAAAATCCTTAAAAATATAAAATGAAGTATGAGGTTTCCTTTAGATGAGCGAACTTAATAACTGTCAGGAAGCTTGGAATATATATTTCTTTGAGTACTTAGTAATACACAGTAACATGTAAGACAAGGAACTAAGAAGTTCAAAAAAGTAGAGATAGCAATCGTATCCCTCCCTATCCCTCCTTGTTTTTATTAATTCAAAAACAACTCAAATTGATTTTGGTAGTTCAAGGACAGCTTCTTGATTTAAAGTAATGGTAGATAGAACTATTAAGGCAAGATCCTGTTTTTACAAATGCAAAAAGTAAAAATAAAGGAAAGTAAGTATGGAAATAGCCAGATCTTCAACGTAAAAGTGAATTATCTTTTATACTTTTCTTCACATATGGTGCTCTTAGATCAAATAGAATTGAATTAAAAATTAGAGTAAGCTGATAGTGTGTTTTGGTTTATCTCCCCATTACAGCTTATAAAGCATTTGCTAGGTAAGACATCTAAGTCAGTAACTCAGGTCGCTCTCATTTGGGTGTTACTTCTGTTTTTCAAATGCATTTTGACAAATGTTTATAATAATTTCTTTTACAGGTACAGTATGTGATGGAAAATTTATATTGACTGATTCCTCTGGGTCTTTTCACTCTATGAATTATCCAAAACCATACAATGCAAATATTGTTTGCCAATGGATTATACAGTAAGCCATTTTCCAACAATTTTCTATCATTGGTTTGATTGTGAGATGATATTATTTGCTGCATGTCAACATTATGCTTCATTCATTCCCAAATACTCCATTAGTAACATACTAAAAATGAGTGTAGTAATGAGCAGCAGAGAAAAAGACTACCCAGCTGAATATTAAATTCTGAATTTTTAGAAGATGTATTTCCAACATTGTGCTTCTCAGTAGTAAGAGTGTTTCTATGATTACAAAAGGTTTATGCCCCTCACCTTTGGTAATTTTACAACTAAAAATTCTCCAAATAGTTCATTTTTATTAGTACACTTTTAATGTAATTTCACCTTTTTCTCCATGGACTTAAGTTCAACATTCCAGCAAACAATTAGTTTACTAAATCAAAAAGAAAACAAAGTAAACAAACAAAAAATTATTGAAGAACGTAGAATTCTGAAGTTTGTTTTTCTGTTGTTATCTTAGAGTGCCTGAAGGATTATCCATTAAATTGAACTTCACTTCTTTTGATACAGAGTCGTATTCAGATATGTTATATATTTTTGAAGGCAAAGGGCAAAACAAGACATTAAGAGGTAAGGTTGTTTTTCAACCAATTTTACTTTTCCAGTAATAAGATGTAAGTAGTAAAATAAGCTTTTTTAGGTGGAAACAAAAGAATGTGTGTATTTATGTGTGTACACATATTTTTAAGTGAAATAATTTGTACAGTTTTTCCTGTAAATGATTGAACTGGAAATACTCCTTTTCTGTTATGAAGTGATGAGATAGATACTTACCTAACTCATAAATAAATGTATTTTTAAATATCTTTAAATATCTATCTTGAACAATCTTAGGTAACTGTCTGTGGAGCCCATGCTTCATTGAAATATGTTGCGCAAACATTCTTTAACATTACTCCCAGGGCATGAAGGCATGTAAACTGAAGCTGAGGGGAGAAGTACAAAGATGCTATCATGTTTATTTGCATAGTGTTGTTTTGCTTGAGCCTGGATACATGGATGATACCTTCCCTCTGTCTTTTCTATTCTAGCCTAGCCTAGGCCTGGCCTAGCCTAGCCTAGCCTAGCCTACCCTATTTTTTAGACCTGGGATTTTTTCTATTTTCCACCGAATTAAGTGATTTTGACTGAGTTCTGTCACATATGAGGGTTTATACAGATATGGGGAGATCTTTCAGATATTTTTGGAAGCAGAAGTAAAGTATGAATATGAAACACAAAAAATAAAATTTTGAGATATTGAAAGGAGAATTTCTATCTCCTTCTGCCACTCCAAACTTAATCCCTTTTCAGGATTTTGCATTGCATGTGAGACATTGTTTCAGTATTTTTCTCTGAAGCAACCACTAACTCTCATAATCTTGAGGAATGCTATGGAAATGAGTGGTGATGTTACAAACACATAAAAACAATGTTAAAGATGCCTATCAGTGGTCTAAAACCTTGAAAACTGAGGGACAGATCACCAGGTAAGAGAAAAAAACAAATGAAAAGGAAAGAAGGATTACAATACATCTCCAGATTTAGCCTCTCCATTTAAGTAAATGGAAATAACTTGTTCAGGAGAAGGAAGAAGAGTGCATATGCAATTGTAGAATTGAATTTTCCATTGATTTTCCTTTAATAATTTGGCATTATGTTAAATTTATAGTATTGCATGTAGACAAAAGGTTTTGAAAAACACTCAGAAAAGGAAAGACTATCTGAAATTGGGGAAGGACTGCTGTAGGCAAACAGTGGAAGCAAACTGCTTTCACTGAACAGGAAAGAATTCAAGATTTGCTTTTGTGAGATGGATTATGTATACTAATTATGGTGGGCAAAGAGGTAAATGCGGTTCTGAGTTTTGAAGGTGTTTTAAGCAAGATGCACAGTACAACAGAGGAAGCATTCTTCAAGACTCCAAAAAATAGTCCAGTTTATTTTTATAACATCAATGAGCATTTGATTGTACTTTTCATTGTCAGTTCATTTACAATTTTTTTTTCTTTATTTTTCTCAGCGTCTCTCTCAGGGACTAATCCTGAAACAGTTTACATTTTTTCTAATGAGGCCACAGTAAAATTTGAATCAGATTATTCTGAAAATCATGATGGTTTTAACGCATCGTATACTGCATTTAATACAAATGAGCTAAACAGTAAGTGCAATTATTTGTTCATTTGTTTGTTATTGGAAATGCTTGCTGAATGTACTTTTTCAGTTTGATAAGAGCAGGGATGGAAAAGGGAGAATCGTTTCTGATCTCCACTCTATAACTAAATTCATTCTAAAGAACTTCTTCCTACCAAAGATCAAATCACTGATATCAGCATACTATCAGTAAAGGGACAGCAGATTCTCGTGTTGTGGAGGATCTTGTTGTGGACTGAGAAAATATTATAGGAAGGAAAGTGATGAGGATGCCACAGTAAATATAAAAGATTGAAGAGAAGTTGTAGAGGTGAAGGACAAGAGTGTTACTGGTGCATAGAGCACATCATTTTTCTGCTGATCATTCAGGTGGTAGCTGTGAGTGGAAGCCCTTTCACTTGGAGCAGCCTGGGAGCCTTGGCTAAGAAAAGGGGAAAAGTGTGGGATTGGCCATTAGGGTTAGCAGCGAAACACACCCTCTCTCATTCCCCCACCAGTCTGCTAGCAAAGGATCAAGAAATAAGGTTGATTCATGAGTGCCAGAACAGATAGGGCCATCTCGCTGGTGCTACTGCGTCATTGGTGATCACGTATTGCTTGCCAGGTACAAATTCTACTTTGACATGAATAATGTAGCTACTTAGAAGTTCAAATTGAAAGCCGTTGTGTCTGGTTTTCAAACACTTTTAAGCATTTACATTGCTTGTGCATTCTTATGTAATTCTGCGCAAATACTTAATGTTTCTGTCATTCTTATTTAATAGAGTCTTTTATTTACAGATGATGAGAAAGTCAGTTGCACTTTTGAAGATGGCTTTTGTTACTGGAGTCAAGATTTAGAAGATGATTCAGACTGGGAGAGAATTTACGGCCCTACTTTTCCCGCTTTGACTGGTCCGGATTTTGATCATACTTTTGGCAACATATCAGGTAAATCAACTATATAATTTTCTCTACTATGAAGAGATGTGATGTTCAATCAGTTCTTGAATGAGGGCTCCCAGACAAAAAGCTTTATATAGCTCATTGCCATCTTGTGTAAATATACCAAAATTAAAAGTTGAACTAAAGGAACATCCGAAGTGATAAAGTGTGAGATACTGAAGTGTTTCAGTGCTATTAAGGCTCCAAAGAGCCTTCTGAGTTATTAAGACTCCAAAGACTCCAAAGAGCCTTTCTAATATGCAACAGTGTCATAGGTTAAATATATGTATGTATATCTCCAAAAAAAAAAAATTCTAGGGAGATTACTTCAATTTCATATGTACCTGCTCATTAAAAATGGTTATCACAGAATAATTCTAATTGAAAAGTTGACCTGTATGTTGCATAGGACCTGTGTCTCCAGTTAAAATTGCACCGTATGAAAAATAATATTCAACACACTTATGCACAACACACAAACACTACAGTAACTGCTATAGCAAACATCTTAATTGGAAGAGTGATCACACTAAATGTGGTTTTTAATTAAGGAGACAATACTGATAAGAATCAGATTTGGAATATGTACCATGAATGTTCATCCTAGAATTTAATTCTAAAAATTTGTTTTAGATTCAATAGGAAAAGAAAAAAAATGTCTTCTGAGCTTATTTGTCAGTCTAAATAAAACTAGCTAACATTATTTGATTTTTACTCTGATCATATTTATTCTTTGCAAGACTTAGAATTTATTCTGTGACAACTAAATAACTGGGGAAAAAATGCAAATTTTTCTGATAAATCTTACCTTCAGGAAAAGAAAATAGTCATATGTTATTTAATGAAAATTATTCACCACTCTGAGTAAATGCGAAATGTCTAAGCAGTGAGCAGAACACTTTTATCTTCATGCTCAATTCCTAGAATACGAATCAGCTGAAAGCATGAAATTTATATAACAAAACACTCAGCTGATTTCTAAATGTCTTAAAAATTTATTCTAGATAAAGATTTTTTCACTATGCTAGATCTAAAATGACAGTTCCATATGCAACGTTGCTCTTGTTCTGAATATTCATATTTCTGATATCTCCATTGAGGTAGCAAATCTGATACCTCTATTTGATAAACATATAAACTGGCATCATTATAATATGTCGGTATTAAATATCTTCAGTGAGACAGTGCAGTATTTATTCTCTACTCTTGGAAAGCAAGAGAATTAATACTAGTAAACCAGCCTCAAAAGCAAAATTGTATAATACTTCAGATCTACACTTGAAAAAACAAATTTTCTATACAAATTAAACTCAAATCTCAGTTCACTTTCTCCACGTCTGATTGTATTATGCAGCGTTACGCTTCATGCCAAAATGGTACAGGCTATATAATAATTTATTCTAACAGATATATAATACTATGCAAATGTAATATATATATTATAGAATATATATATTTATATTTAAAAAACTTTTTGTATTTTTAAGTGTGTATCTATATATATAAATATATAGATTTGTAGATTATATGAAATCTAACATTACAGATGTGATTTCAATAAAGAATTGCATCTTGAGACTTTTAAACCTGTGCCTAATTTTTATTTTCTTGTGAAAAATTACAGTATTTCTCTACTCTGGTGTCATATTATATTTCCACATTGCAAAGGAAGTCTAGACTTCAAGCTGATAGTAATCAATTCAGAACTGACTGACAAATACATTTCCAAAATGATGTGTTTTTCATGTTGATGTTCCTTTCTACTACTATAAAATATTCACTAAAGTGTTCACCTCCTTCCTCCTTTACCACATTGCATTTCTTGTTATTATGTGATAATAATTATAAACTGTCAGGAAATCCTTCTGCAAAGCCATGCGCAACTGTCAATCAGGAATATGTCTTTATTAAGTAAGTAAAAATAACTCAAAATAATTCCTGATTTTGCTGAATAAAAGGCAAATTTTCCACTGTTTTCAAGGAGGCTAGCTTCCAATTTCATGTTTAGTTCTGAGCAATGTCCTGCGAGCCTGAAAGTTCATTCTAATATGTTTTTGACTGACAAACGTAATTTGGAATAATCTTTCACTTTTATTGGGTCAGGAATCTTCCAAATCATTCGTCTCTGCTTGTACTTTTCCATTTGACTCTACTTTTAAAAACAACTACTTGTTCTCACTTTTTTTTTTTTATAAAGGACAGCTATGTCCACTAAAATATGTTCATTAATTTACAGGATTTTATATTTCAACACCAAGGATATTTGGATTATTTGGAGAACTTAAAGTCAGGATTGTGAGTTTGCCCTTGGTCTCTTCTGATCCATCTTGTCTAAGCTTTTGGTATGTTATCTATCCTCTATGGATTAAATGATTCCTAAGTGTATATATATATATATTAGGCTAAAACCAAATATTTTTATTTGAAATGTATTATTAATTAAAGTCCGTGTAGATGCCTCCTTCTATTTGGATTTCTATGATCAGACTGAGACTCCAAGCCTCATACTACATTAGCAGTTTGAGTCTTGCACTTAGTCTTAATTTAGCTGTGCTTTCACTTTCCCTTCACCGTTCATTTATATACAGAAATTATATTAAAAATCTCTTAAATGTTTTGGCCATGAAGCTTAACTAGAGCTCTACCAAAAATATAACAAAAGACTAAGTAAAAATCTAAACAGATGATTCATTTTATTTTCTTGCTCAGCACAATTGGTTTCATAAATATTTTGTAAAATTAATAATTTGATATTCTTCTTGAAGTTGGAGGAATTTCACTGTGATCTAATAAAACAAATTTTTGCTGTTACCCTTGTAGGTATCACATGTATGGTGCTGATGTTTACCGTTTGAGCGTTAGCATAATTAATAAACATGATATGGAAAAGATAGTATTCCAGAAAGAAGGAAACTATGGAAACAACTGGAATTATGGACAAGTAACTTTAAATGACTCCTCTGATTTTAAGGTTTGTCAAACTAGTAATCTTTTTTATTCTTTATATCAATATCAGGGTTTTCTGTCAAATGAGTGCAATGGTCACAACTCCAAAAACAGTATTTAGTGTTGCTTACTAATACCTGTTATACATGTACAATACACTAATACGTATTGCTATCAAATATTAATATGCGGAAGAGAAGGTTCCCCATTTGGATTTTTTTTCCTTGGGTTATAAGTATTTCTATTTTCCATTGCAATAAATAGAAAACTTTAATGTTATCACTGAAGCGAGCTTTACACAGAAGAAAAGAGTGTTCAAAGCCTAGCATAATCTGATCAGATCTGAAAGTCTTAACCGTGAATGAAGTGTGCAACATTTAGTCATACCGAGACTTAAGTTGGAACTTTAGATTCTGAAGCAGTATTTGCACTAATTAATTAGAGAAGTTCAGACAGAACTATATTTGACAACACATAGGTGCAAACTGACCTGACTTATCTGTAAACCAAAGAAAATATTCTCTGGGAGACTTACATGAGACCATTCCTTCAGCAACTCTATTCCAAAACCAAATTATTTTATAGGTATTTGAAATGGCTTGTCCTGTTATAGTGTGTTTTTTATCAATGCAAAATACTGCCAGAAAGAGGCATTTACCATTTCAGGAAGCAAATGCATTTCTGACCTGGTTATGTCACATTTCTAGCAAATGTATGGTGTAGGGTCATAGAATCACAAAATCGTAGAATCGTTAAGGTTGGAAGACACCTCTAAAGGTCATCTAGTCCAACCCCCCTGAACACGCAGGGTGACCTACAGCACATTTTGAAGATCTCCAGAGAAGGGGATTCCACAACCTCTCTTGTCACCCTCACTGTTAAGAAATTTTTCCTTAACTTCCTGTGGAACTTTTGGTGCTTCAGTTTGCGGCCATTACCTCTAGTTCTGTCAGAGGCCACCAGTGAAAAGAGGCCAGCACCATCCTCTCCACTCCCTCCCTTGAGGTACTTATAGACACTGATTAGATCCCCTCCCAAACTTCTCTTCTCCAGGCTGAATAGGCCCAGCTCCCTCAGCCTCTCCTCATAGGGCAGATTTTCCAGGCCCCTGATCATCCTTGTGGCCCTGCGCTGGACTCTCTCCAGCAGCTCCACATCCCTCTTGTACTGTGGAGCCCAGAACTGGACACAGTACTCTAGATGTGGCCTCACGAGGGCTGAGTAGAGGGGCAGGATCACGTCCCTCGACCTGCTGGAGGTGCTCTTCTTAATGCACCCCAGGATCCCACTGGCCTTCTTGGCCATGAGGGCACACTGCTGCTTCATGGTCAACTTGTCATTCACCATGACGCCCAGGTCCTTCTCTGCAGAGCTGCTCTCCAGAACAGCGGTCCCCAGCCTGTACTGGTGTCTGGGGTTATTCCTCCCCAGGTGCAGGACCTTGCACTTGGCCTTGTAGAATTTCATGAGGTTTTTCACCGCCCAGTTGTCCAGTCTGTCCAGGTCCCTCTGGATGGCAGCGCAGCCCTCTGAGGTATCAGCTACTCCTCCCAGTTTGGTATCATTAGCAAACTTGCTGAGGGAGCACTCTGTGCCTTCATCCAGATCATTGAAGAATAAATTTCTCAGCATCCACTCGTCTAACCCACACTTCGGGAGCTTGCCCAAGAGGATGCTGTGAGGGACAGTGTCAAAAGCCTTGCTGAAATCCAGATATATGACATCTACTGCTCTCCCCTCATCTACCCAGCCAGTCATTCCATCATAGAAGGATATCATGTTAGTCAAGCATTTCCCCTTGGTGAACCCATGCTGACTACCCTTGAGCACCTTCTTATCCTCCACACGTTTGGAGACAACAGCCAGGATGAGCTGCTTTTCCAGGGGTGGAGGTGAGGCTCACTGACCTGTAGTTGCCTGGGTCCTCCTTCTTGCCATTTTTGCAGACTGGCATGACATTGGCTTTCTTTCAGTCTTCTGGCACTGCCCCCGTTCTCCAGGACCTTTCAAAGATGATGGAGAGAGGCTTAGCAATAACATATGCCAGCTCCCACAGCATGCTGGGGTGCATCCCATCAGGGCCCATGGATTTACGGATATCAAGGTTCCCTAAGAGCTCTCTGACCCAAATCTCAGGAAGAATATTATATTTAGCTGTGTGTTTTGCCATCGCAAATGCCATGGTAATGGGGTTACTTAAAATATGTGGATGTTAAAGCACAAAACCAAACAAACTATAGATAAATCAAGTTAGTTGCAGTTATTCTTAGAGCTATGTCATTAACCCATAAGGGGTTTGGATTGACAAAGTGATAGGGATACAGGATGTCGTCTGTTTAAAAAGATATGTATTTCTGTTAAAAAAATGAAGTTGTATAGTTTTAAGGTATGTTAGTCATTTATGAAGATGAAAAGCATTTACTTTATTTTATTTTATTTTGTTTTGTTTTGTTTTGTTTTATTTTTTCATGACCTTCAGGTAATTTTTGATGCCTTTAAAAGGCCTGGTCAAAGTGATATTGCCTTGGATGATATTGGCTTGACAAAGGGAAAGTGTAATGAAAGTATTTTTCTAGAGCCAACTGTGGTTCCAGTTTCTCCTACTGTGCCTTCACTTCCTAGTAAGTAAATACTAAATTACAATAGATTACCATTTCCTATTACTGTGTTTGTGTTTCAATGAAGAATGATTAAAACTGATATGAATCAGGTCCAGTCACAATGAAAAAAAAAATGATACACATATGAATAGAGCTTGTGAAAAAATCATTAAAATATTTCATAGGGTTTTGTAATTTATTGTTAACAATACAAGATTTTTTTAGGGGAGAATTAGTTAATTATTAATAATTAATTATTTATTTATTGATATTTAAATAGTTAATAAAATACCATTCCACAGATAGTTTGAAATCATCAAAACACTGAGTATATTTTCGTACCACCTCCTATTAGATTTATTGTAATCTACAAAGCACAGCTAGTTGCTTTCTTGCATATAGTAAATAACGATGATTATTAAATTAAATTATAGATCAAATAATAGGGAAAGCCTATTGCTAAAAATTGCTAAAATTTCTAAATACAAGAACAAAACTCAATTTTAGAGCTCCATCCTGAGTTCCAACAAAGCGTCTCTGTCATCGAACATAACATTCAATAAACACTGAAATTAATTAAATAGTGGCTGTGTGTTGCTGTAAGAACTCCATGGAACTTTCATTCAAACTAAAGATATCTCTACAAAATGTGATAATTAATTCTAAAGAGACTGAAGAAGTCCGTTCTGCCCTTCAGTATGATACAAAAGCTGTTGCAGGAAAAAATCTAACTTGACTGCATTTTCATATTGTTGAAGCATACTAAGTATATGATATCTATAATCTGCTCAAAAATGTGAATGTTATCAATCACCTTCAAAGATGTATGGCATTACTTTGATGCATCTGGTGTAAATTTACTAATGCTAATGGTTTCATTACAAATGTTGTGATTGTAGTCAAGAGATGAAAGAATTTGATCTGAGCCAATTTCCTTAGCTAGGTCTAGAGCTTCACTAAGAGGACCTGGAGTAATTCACAGTGCCACAGGAACAGATGAAAAAGTCATTTTTTTTTCTGTGGGGGTTAGTGGGGAGATGGGGATTAGTTTGATTTTTCTTTTGCACAAGACTGTCAGCCTACAATTTCATCCAAAAGAAGCATGGCTTTCATCTTCATACCCATTTATAAGCTGTCTTTTGACACAAAACAGTATGAAAATTATAGTGTGGGTTCCATCGTTAATATGTCTCTGTTTCTATAAATTAAAGTTTTGGAAAAAGTATAGAGCAGTTATTTTGGGTTTTGTTTTTTGATTTTTATTTTGTTTTGATTTTGTTTTTAATCAAGCAGGCATGTATAATTTTGCCATTATAAGATAAATGGTGTTGTATTTTGCACTGCTAAGAAAATCCCTTATTATGCTCCATGAAAGAGACAAGTTTATTAGTGCTGATTGCTACTTGGGTGTCTAACAAGCATTAGGCATACAACCCAGAATAACTCCATAAAGCTTTATTTTTAAAGTAAGTTCTCTGGTAATTGATGAAAAAAAATACTCAGGCATGAATAAAATCAGTTTCCTGCAATGCTTTTCCATGCAAGAGAAAGAAGAGTCATTATTGACATGCCTTGTATGTAGTCAATACCAGATCAGATTTCACTATAAATTACTCAAATTGAATTGCTCTTGAAAAAGCTGTTTTTCCCCTGCTCATGTCATCAAATGATAGTAGCTCAGAAATATATATTCATTATGTACAGTTTTTGAATAGCTATGTTATGAGTTTGCATAATAATCCAGAACAAATGCCAAAGTTATATTTGTTTGTTGTTAATGACATTTGCAGATATAATTGTCATTCTATGAGATACAGTTGAAACAAAATATACTGGTTAGTCAAAGTGTGTTATTCTTACAGTTCTTTTTCATTTTAGAGAATTACGTGTTTCTTGCCAGTACTGATTTGGTCAAATAGAAGCTTTATAAGATGGTTGTCATGAGAAAGTTCAAAACCTTCCTGTATTTAGTGGTATTCCTGACAGTGGGATTCAGTGTATAGCCTCAGAAGGATTTGTGTATTATACAGGCCTTAAGCAAGTGGTTTTTAGTATGTAACTCTGACATACTTATCTAAAAGCAAACTTAAGACTGGAGATAATCTTTAGCCAAAGTTTAAAAGTTGACAAAATCATTTTTCATCAAAAAAGGTAGATATCTTGGTTTCTTTTGCCTTAAGTTCTGTTTCCTGGAGAAGAGCAGTCATTCAGAACAAAAAGTGAAAAACACTTAATTTCTCTTTGATGGTGAAGCTAACATTCCTCAATATGAAGTAAAATTTTGAAACATGGAACTGAAATATATTTCAGATATAACCTAGGTATAACCTATCTTCCACTATTACATATTTAAAGAGAATGCTACACAATAATGTAATGATTGTATGCATGTGTGCACATAAATGTCTATAATATTAGCTTTTAAATATTAGGCAAGGAAAATTTCCAAAACTCAAAATATACTGATTTAAATCTAATCATACCTTATCTTAGTCTTTCCAAATATTCCATAAATGGTTGTCATGAATACATGCCATATAATTACTAGCTCCTAATAGTATGTATTTTTAAAAAAAATGCATAAAAAGTACCTGGAATTTTGATTGAAATGCAAAATAATGCATTCAACTGGAAAATCTCTATAAATGTTTGAGGTTTTTTTGTGCAAAAAGATGAGGTCAGATTATTTCAAGGTATGGATCTGAAGCTGTGATTCTTGTGCCTTTTGAGGATATGAATCACAAATGGAGGATGACTCCCTGGCATTTCTGATAGTAATTTTAAATTGACCGTATAATAGAAAGTGATACTCCCAACTTAAAACACAGGATCCCTCAAAGGTTTTTAGAGACTAAAATTAATGGCAGAATTTGACCTATTATTTTTCCTCTGTTTACATTCAATGCAAACAGAAAAAGCATATTTTTTAATTTCTCCAAAATCCTAATCTAAAAATATAAGAGTAGTGATAGGTAAATTCCTCAGCTGGCAGAAATTACACACTACAGTAATCTAATGTTTGCATTACAAGCTTATCATCAGTGGAATATCTCAGTGGAAATATTTTCTAATATTGGAGAGAAAACAAGTATATCCTGTTTATGCTGTTCGAACTGATGATACGCAGGTAAAAGAAATAGAATCATCAATTTAAAGGAAAAATCTGATGCATCTAATTATAACTTTAAATTTAATTAATGTTTATATATAATTGCATATCCCTGTTAATTGAAGCAGTTGTTTTGAGGAAGAGGCAAATAGTGCTTCTATTATTTAAGAGGTTTAACTGAAAGAGCTTTTAAGGTCTTGATGAGGTCAAAACAGCAGTGTGATTGTTTAAAATATTTAAATTCCATGAATTTATATGCTAGTACTGTGGTTGTGACCCATTCACAGAAAAACACTACATAACAGGAAAGTTATGAATTCTAAGTCCTTTAATACTCTTATGTTTCAGAATACATACAAGCTTTTGTACCTTCCTTTGCAATCAGTGGGGTAAAAGGCATAATGATAATAATGAAAGCTGAAAGTGCTTTTGCAAATTATAGAGTCATTTTTATTTAGACCACTGTTAATATATCTTGATAGGCCATGCACAACAGATATAATCCATCTGTTCAATATAAAATTGCACTGAAAATTAATCAGAAAAAAAATCTTAAATATTTAAAAGCATTGCCTCTTTCCTAAGTTGTATACATACTAGAAGTGCTAGAGTTGCCCTTCTCACTAATGCCGCATAACATACGTCCTTGTAACTGCATTTATCTCATCTTCATATACCGCATTTAAATATATTTGGAAAAGCCTGAATAGATGTGTGGATCTCTTCAGAGTTCCTCAGTGTTCCCTCTTTTCAAAACAAACCAATCCAAAACTTAGAATTCAATTTCATGATTTTGTATTCTAAAAATATTTTGGAATCTTATATTCCAGTTTGTCTCTGAAAAGTTCAAAGCATTTTCACAAAAGGTGACTAAAAAGTATTAGTACCTTTCCAGCAATATAGCAGATAACTAATATTTACCAAAATAGGAGATGCACCAATAGACATATTTGTTTTGATCTATAATGGGTTTGGAACCTCCTTACATAAAAGTTTAAGTTGAAAGTTTCATCTTTAATTGATGAGTTAAGCAACGTTAGTTGCAGTAATAACAATAATTAGATAATAATACATTAGCTAAGTTTAAGAAATAAAAAAAAAGATACTGCTGTCTATTTCTTACCTAAACTTAACTTCAGTAGGATGAAGGCTTCACTCGAGCAGTTATTTTTGAAGAAGATATTTTTCAGCTAAAATTTGGCTACCAGTAAACTTTCAGATAAATTATATTGATTGCCATTATAGTTCTATCTGAATTGGCTCTGATGTTTATTTGCTCAATGAGGAAAAGGGCTTTCTACTGAAAAGCGTTTCTGATAATACTGCAAGAAGAACAATTAGATAATAAGAAAGGCATACATGCTTAATTCATAAATAGATTATATTTGAGGGAGAAGGATTCTCCTGTCTTAATATGACGTATTCTGACTTTTATGTTAATGTCCTAGTAAATGCTACAGTTAGCACACTTCACATTTTTTCTCATGTGCACAACTTGCACTGCTTGCAGACCAATAGTCACCAAATTAGGGACACAGACTGTGTCCTTCAACTAACTACACAGGGAAGGCTTCTCATAACCTCATCACAAATGCAGTTGTGCTCAGAGGCATTAGAATTTCAGCGGCAACAATATCTAACTGTAGCAGTAGATAACACCATGGCAATGATTGGGTCAGCAGATCTGACTTAGACGCTCAAACCAACAAGGACAGTGAAGTTCTTTCACACCTTGCTTGTCCAGTGCTCTGGGACCTCATGGGAATAATGGCTTCCCTCAACCTAAAATTTAAGCAGTATGTTAATTAGCGCAGGTAGCGATAATTTTAAGTTGAATATTCTGTCCATATTACTTTTGATCTTTGTAGATACTGATTTTGAAAAAAAAGGCAGTATATTAATTTTATTTTGGTATGTTTCCTTTTTCAGCTGACTGTGGAGGGCCATTTGAACTTTGGGAGCCAAACAATACCTTCAGCTCTGAAAACTTCCCAAATAATTACCCTAATCAAGCTTCTTGTAAGTCACTCTTCTCTAAATGCCCAGGAAAAGTTTAGTTGCATAGAAATAGAAGTTATAAATCTGCTTTCCTAATATGCTGTCAATCAAAAATGATCTATGTTATACACAGTGAGCTCTTCTAACTGAAGTCTATATGGCAACTTAGCAGAAGCTATGGAATCAGGTGTCGATTGAAATATAATGAAGATAAGCACAATCCCTTGAAATGGATTCAGGCAAGTCAATTCCTTGATGCCTTTATGTGAAACATGTTTATGTCAGTTCAACAACAGAGACGGTACTGAAGGTTTCCATTTCACCTCCGTGAAATTTGGAGGATTAATAGCCTACTCCATTATCTAGTAAATCTTTTTAAGATGAAAGAATGTATGTATGCATTTTTCAAGTGATCCTGTTTATATAGAATATTTCACCGTATACCAATGGAAAAACAACATTATTCTACTGATGTTAGAGTTACATTAAGCTACATCAGACAAAAGGGAGAAGAAAATTAGTCTTATAATATGTCATGGTTCAACACTACATGATGATGATGGATGAAGCAAAGAGAAGAACCCTACCATTGTTTCTTAATGAAATTTCAATTATTTATTACTCCACCTTTTACCAGAGAATTGTGTTGGAATGCTAATCACAAGAGTTGTAATTTTTTGTTTCTGTTACTCTGGGGATAGAGCTCTCATTTCCAGATATTAATTCCACAAGTTTCTCTGATAGTGAGAAGATACTTTTCACTCTACGAAGAGCATGAAAAAAAATCTGCTTTCTTTACAAGATTTCCACAGTATCCATGTAGGGTACATTCATAAATCAAATTCAGTAAAGGGTGGATTAAATAGATGCAAATACTTCTTCTCTTAAAGGGAGTCTAATTTGAAAAACTTATGTGATTTATTCTTTTTTGAAATTATCCTATTATCAAATCGAATAAGACTAGTTTAGTCACTTTATGGAAAATCACAGTTGTGATGAATGGTAATAAATGCATATGTATATGAAAGTTGTTCAGTGAACCGAAGTCAGTGGAATTTGGGATCTTGATAGCCCATAACTCTTATAAAGATTATATTTAGACTTCTAAGCCTCTTGGATGATCTTAAACATATTAGAACATTTTTTTTTTTCCCAAAATGTTTCGACACGAAAATGATATAGTACGTTCATGAAAATGAAAAAAACAAATGGAAAGTGTTATGTATGTGTGTGTGTTGTTGCTTTCTAGGTATATGGTATTTAAATGCTGAGATGGGGAAAAACATTCAACTTCATTTTCAGTTTTTCGACCTGGAAAATATTTATGATGTAGTTGAAGTCAGAGATGGCAGAGGAAGAGATTCCTTGCTTTTAGGCAAGTAACACCAATGAGTACTAAGATGAATCAGACAGATGGAGCAAAGTAATTGATCTAATAAGGAATTTATTCTCTCCAACTAATTAATCCTCTATTTTTTTTTCTACATTTCTTCATCTTTCTGGGTCTTGGAAACTTAAGAAGAAAATTTGAGAAAATTTATTGTATTTGACATCATTTTCCCAAATGTTTCTACCTGCTCAGCTTTCCATACAATCCAAAAGCAGCTGACAATCAGTAAAACTGCTAGCATGTGTGGACTAACATAAGCATAGTCATATCATGGTCTAATCTTATTTTGTACCAAAGTGTCAGATTTGTAGTTGAATATTGATTCATGCTTTCTCATAGCAGTTAGTTTTCCTTTTGATCCTAAAACATTTTGAAATATATAATAAATAAATAATGTATTTATATTCTCCTTGGAAATAGCTGTTTATACAGGGCAAAACCCGTTGCCAGATGTCTTCTCTACAACAAACCAGATGACAGTACTCTTATTGACAGACGACTCTTCAACTAAGAAGGGTTTTCTTGCAAATTTTACTTCTGGCTACCATCTAGGTAAGTGTATGAACCCTTATATTTAGTATTTAACAGGTTTATACTAAGTGTCAAATACATTTGATAAAAGGTGGGGAGTGGGACCTGGATCTCAGTCCTTGAACAACAGAAAAATGAAACAATAAAAGACAAAGTCTAGAGGAGTATACATCTGCTTTTCACTATTTCTGGAGTGAAAAGGGATTTGTTTTGTTTTGTTTTGTTTTGCTTTATTGTGGTAGAAGAAAGGCTGTACTCTGTGTAACTCTGTGTGATATCGTTCAGTACCCAGAGGAGTTGACTCAGTATTCTGACCTATAAAACATCTTTATGACAAGAGGGCAAATATAAACTATTCTCTGTATAAGCCCCCCAAAAGACTCCTTTAACTTATTTGAGGGTGTCACTACTGTGTATTTAAATATTATTTTAATATTTATTATAGATCACATCCAATAGAAGGGAATAATGCATAAGATAACTTATTAATGTTTGTCATATGGTCCATCTTTTTAAAAATTTTAAAATTTTTAGCCATTTTTAAAATTTTAGCCTTTAATTTGTAAAGTGTCTGGAAAAAGTTATTGTTTAAAATATTTGAGCAGCAAAGCTTCAGTTCCCAGGCATTTCCCTGCTGAAAGAACACTGTGAATGTAATGAGGTCCCTCAATTAGACCTTTCACTGGTACAAGTAATTCTGTAATTGAGGTTCCAAAAGCAGCCAAAATAGAGCCAAGTGGCAAGTATGAGCAAGAGCAATATGCTTATCAAGAGAAATCCTCTCATGAGATCCCCTTCTTGATGAAATTAAGACTTCATTTAACAAAAATCTGAAAGCAGGAAGAAGAACAAGAAAAAGCAGTGTATGTTCTTAGTTAATGTAAAGTACCTTTCAGATACATGAACACAAAGTTAACATGAGTATATCCTCTTCTTTTTTTCTTTAAAGATCAGTAAAGGCACATTTTTCCTGGCATGAAATGCTAGTTGTAGTTCTTTTATAAGTTAATAGTAATATTAATTTCTTAATATCTTAAAAATCTTGACCATTGATTTACTGTCATAAAATCAACTTTAATTTAGTCCCTTGTGCAAGACTGAGATGTAGGTTAATATGCCTATTTCTATGCTTTTTGTTCTGCTTTCTCTATCACATTTGTTCAGTCCAGCAATAGTACGTCATTTTTTTAGCTGGTTCAGCATCTTTGCCCACATTTGCTGTAAAATGAGAATTAATTAATTTAAGCTCCTAAATTGCCAATTGCCAATTCTGGTTAAATATATTTAAAAGGTTCCATTTACAGAAGAATTATGCTTATTCATGTTCTTTGCAGCCAAAGGACATGGGCTAATACTGTTAGCTTGCTGGCCCAAGGTTAAAAGGATTGTCAGTAAATAAGTGAATTGTACAAGAAATTTTTCTTCATATTTTATTTTTCCATGAAATGTTGAGATTTTGATTAGGAAGCATAATTTGGCAGTGAATATTTTTTGACATTATGTGTTATAGTAAAATAGCATATTCAGAAAATCTTCATCTAGCTGTCTAAAGTGGGAACTAAGTTCTACAGAAAATTTGACATTAGCTGTGGCCACTGAATGTGAATAGAGCTCAGGCTTTTGGGAAACCCTATCCTTTTGCATCCATATGGTACAATATTGCCTTGTACAATATTCCCTTGTACAATATGGATGTATCACATGAATGAATGTATAATTTAATATGCATATTAACAATCCAGAAGCAAAGCAATAGTCTTGCATTAAATAAGACTTCTGGAGAATGAAATGCTTAGCTAGTATGCCCAGGAAGGCAAAATAAAGAAAATACTTTTTTTTTTTTTAAACAGAATTTATCTTTAGGACTGTATATTTCCTACAAATTATGTTAGGTGGTGTTATTAAAAATATACTGTGGCTAAAGAAAGAATTTCAGTGTTATATTTATTCTATGTGTAATTTACTTTCTAAGATTCTTATTTGATACTGAAATAGATTAACCCTTCTTTTGAAAATACTCTCTTCGCTACTCTTCGTTACATTTCTTCCCAGACATTTTCAAAAGGAGGCCCTTGGCTTTGAATACCTCTACTTTTACCTCTCTCTATTTTATCTTAAGAAACTTAAGTTTACTGAACTTCTCTGAAAGTGCTGAACATCCAGAACTTGCCTTCCTTGCTCACTTTTTAAAAAATTTAGAAGCACTAGATGCACAAATGTTAATAGGATGCTTGCATTTGATTTCAGAGGAGATAGGATTTGTTCAGGATTTGTCTTTTCTTATCCCTCCAAAATTTATTAACCTAAGAGTGCTTGTAACTGAGCAATTTTAACTATAGAAATAACTACAATATATTTACTACTTAATTAATTGCTATTTATTTGAAAACAATCTTTATTTTTGAAAAAGAAAAGGAAAGAGAAAGTGAAAGGAAGGGAAGAGAAAGGAAAGGAAAGAGAAAAAGAAAAGGAAATTGAAGGACAGAAAAGAAAATCGTGAAAGGAAAGATTCTGGGTGCCATCCACCCAATTTTTCCTTGAGATGAAATAGTAAATCTGCAGAGAACATGAACCTTGAAAAATAATTATAGCTTCATCTCCATTTCCGGTTTTGTTTTGTTTCAGGAGCCTGTGAACCTGAAGAGTTTCAGTGTGGTAGTGGAGAGTGTATACCATTGCATAATCTTTGTGATAACCTCCTTCAATGTGAAGATGGCTCTGATGAAGCAGAGTGTGGTAAGGCTTCCTTCACCTAAAGTAAAGGAATACATGCGTATTTGGTAGAAATTACATGGGAAAATACGTATGCAACCTCAGCCAGTGTAAACTACTGCAGCTGCATGCAAGATATACTAATTTAGACAGAAGCGTCTGGTTGATTTTGGGACAAAAAGTCAGTTCTTTGACATAATGCATGAAAACTAGTGGAGATCTCTGGGAATGAAGAAAGAAGTTCCTCTGTGGTTAAAGCTATTGCTGCCTATAACGGCCTGTCCAACCTTCAACATTAAATAAAAAAATTTTAATGTTCTTTATCTGTCCTTTACATACCCCAAATTTGCTGTATTTTATGTGAGTTTCATAGCAGTATAAATTCTGCAGATGATAGAGAGTAAGATTCTCCCAACTAATGCCAGGCCAAACTGCAACACGTGACAACCCTCCAGTCAGTGTGGACTCTCTCTCACACAGGCACTGATGTAGATGGCACAGCTGCAAAATCATCATCTGCTGCTCACAGTGGATGTTCAGGTTCCTATGACAAGGACAGCAACAGCTGCTGTTGCATAGCCATCTGGAGAATGGTTCTTTCCAAAATTTAAGTGCATGGCTTTATGTCACATAGTATAGAAACAATGCCCCCTAAGCAATAATTTAAATATAAAACCACTGTTGATATCATGTTGATCCTAGCAGAGAAATTAAACTGCTGTTTCTGATAAAGTGCTGTTCTGACAATGCATTATAGAGCTCTAATAGGAGATTTTAAAACAGGCTTTTAAGCCTAGATATGAAATTATATTCTTTTATTTTAAGGAGGACGTATGGGAATCAATTATATTCTTGGATGTGTTCTGGCAGTTCTCATTGATTTCAACACTTTTTATACACACACACTCACACAAACAAGCATATGTGTATATGAAGGCACAGTTTCATTTTTCCACTTAGTTCAGTTAGCTGTTTTGTTTCATATGGGATCTGCCTTTAAAATGCACAGAAAAAAAATCACTTCAGCTTCCTCTTAAGCAAAGAGGAGCTGGAGAGGATTCTGTTGTTGAAAAGAAGATACAGTGTGGCAGGAAGATACAGTATCACCCAGATCAATATTAAGTATATTTTCCCAAAGATTATACTATGAATTGTCTATTATTTCATAAAAAATTACTTCACACTAAAGGATAGGAAGAATTATTTTCAAAAATCCAGTTAAACTAAACTAAAAATTTTGCTGAATCAATCCCAAAATGAAATGAAAAATTATACATCTTCACAATGAGTCTTTTCAGTGTCCAGAATTATTATTCATTTTCCTGAAACCCATTTCAGTTTCTCATCAGATGTGGCAATTTGAACTAGGCAAGCTGCCCTTTTTAAATGCTCCAACTCCTGAAACTTCCCAGAAACTGTAAAGAAAGGTCTAGGATATCCCATCCTTTATAAAAATCTATAATGTGTGACATTTGAATTAAATGTGTTAGGATTCAAGCTTCTCTCACTGCTTACCAAAGGAAAGTCACTAGTGCATGTATCCAGTGAAAAGAAAGGAAAATGAAGTTCAAGTAGAAGACAGGAAAGGTGTCAAAAGTAAATTAGAGAAACCTCACAATGCAAGCAGTTCTTGGATATTTCAAGACTAATTCAAAATACCTTACAGCTGAGATTTACCGTTATTTAATGATAATACACAACTTCTTTCAAACATACTGTGACATAGGTCACAGAGTCATAGGTGACTCTGTTGTCCTTCTGTCTGACTTCCTTAGTCACTATGCCAATAGTATAAGATTTTTTACAAAATAATTGATGAATTCATAATAAACCATAAAAATATTTCCACTTTTATTTTCTGAATATTTTGTTTTGGAAAAAGTTTTATTAAAAAAAATATTTTTTTTCTTTAACCTAAAGCTGGAAATAAAGCACCGAAAGTTCCCATAGAAACAGGAATTGTAAAATCCAATTTTTGGTCGACTCTGTTTTTCACTTCATCTCCAATCTATGTTATTGAGTTTCATGTAGCTAAATCTTCAAGTAGTAGATGGATAGAACATAATGCTTACCAAGGTGAAATACTGGTTACAGTAAATAAGAAATATAATTATCAACTGAAGACTGTCTGCTTGTAAGACACCTACAAAACACAGGCTGTAAAGTTCTCCTGTAGCAGAAACATAGGATGATATAACCATAGCATTGCCTTCTTAGAAAGATGATCCTTGAGATGCTGGGTTTCTTACTGCAGTAGCATACCTTAACTTATTTTGTTCTTTGCTGGCACTAATAAATCTGTCTATATTATAATTATGTGGGTTGGGGGAGGGGAAAGGAAGAAGGTTACTTGTTCGTTGTTGTTTTAAACCATCTGCTTAAATACTTATGTCCGCTTTGGTCTACAGTGAGATTGCTTAATGGTTCTGTAAGCACACAAGGACTGCTACAGATCAGGACTGGGAAGGAATGGAACCTGGTATGTGCAGAGAACTGGAATGACCAGATTTCAGACACAGCTTGCCAGCTGCTGGGGCAAAGGTGAGTGTGCTCTTCTCCTTGTCACTTGTTTGTAACTCTGATTGTTTGTCTGCACATTTGTGTTTTCCTCACCATTTCACTAGTGTCTCTAGCATCCAAAAAGGGACATAGGTACTTCTCTATGGTATAGTGAAGTGCTTGGTCTGCCTAAGAGTAAAGCTGGTGCAGAAAGCAACCTTGGCTGCTCTGCTATCATATTGAAGTTCATTTCGGGTAAATTTAAATGAACCATTTTAGTATTCTGCACTTGGGCTCCCAATACATTTTGTGTATTTAGACCTAAGAACCTCTTTTTCTCTTGATATAAGGAGGGAAGGAGGGAGGAGGGAGGGAAGGAGGAAGGGAGGAAGGAAGGAAGGGAGGAAGGAAGGAAGGAAGGAAGGAAGGAAGGAAGGAAGGAAGGAAGGAGGGAAGGAAGGAAGGAAGGAGGGAAGAGAGGAAGGAGGGAAGAGAGGAAGGAGGGAAGAGAGGGAGGGAGGAAGGCCTTAGGCTCTATTCAGCAAGATTTCCAGGTAAAAAGTGGGTGAAGAAGGGTTGTCTGTTAACCTCACATCTATGATAAAATTAATGGCCCAAATCCTGGCCTCACTTACACTATATGTAACTCCACTGTCATTCACTGAACAAAATATGGCTTTCCTGAAGTGCTGAGGTTTTTAGGGGATGACACACATCCAAATAATAATTAAATGAAAGCCTTAGCTTGAAATTTATTATGTTGATCACCACCAAATATAGCATGTCTGCAAATGTTTTTCTGGCAAATTAATTAAAGAAATAAACAGAGTTAAAACAACTTAGAAAAACATCTAAATGTTATTTAAAATATTTTTACTCAATAGATGATATACTATATGCTGTTTTATTTTTTTCTTTTTAGGTAGGTATTGCATTAGTGTAGATTTCAGATACCTGAATGCACAAATCCTGTTTATAATTCATATATGAGGTTATGTCATTTGTGATGAACATGGGGTCCCTGTACTTAAGCATCCTTTCCTTTACTGGCTGGCACTTCTTCCACTTTCTTCTCTTACCTCCACCTCTCTTTCCTCTACACCTTCTGGAGACTGCTCATTTCTCGGTCTGATTGTTTAATTTACATTTTTATATCTCATAGGCTTCAATGAGGTTTGACTTTCATTATATTTTCTATTACCTTTGACTTATATGAGCTTTGTCTCCAAAACATTCTGTAGCCATATATTTCAGAGTTCGTGTCTATAAAGTAGTCAAATACACTCATTAAATAAATAAATAAATAAATAAACTCCCATTAAGATATTTTTTCTGTATTGGTTCTTTCTGATCCCATTGTTCAGTATATTACATTTTCTTTTTGTAAAGTAAAAGTATTTTTAAACCTAAATGGTATCACTCTCTCTTCTCCTGGATAAAACTTCTGCTTTAGATCCTGCAGAATAGTATAAATTCTCTTGCTTTTCAATAGAGATATTTTTATTAGAATGTATGGCAATTATTTTTTGGCATAAAATACATGTATGCTTCAAGAAACATAGCTTTTTATATAAGCTATTAGCTGAGGTACAATATAGTAAAGATTCATATTTATGTATTCATATTTATGTATTCACACAGAATTTCAAGTCTGCCTAAAGAATTAGCAATCAGACCTATATAGTCTGTCAACTTAATTTTCATATCTATGCCACGGCTTTATGCATATCTCCGGGGAAGAAGTGACTTTGCAGTTGACAATGAGGGGGAAAAGAAGGGCTGTTTTAGCTTAGCACCCTTAAGCATCACTCCATATCTATGACTCCTCCTCGTAGCAGTATATCTGCTAATAAAGAGCAGTAGATTTTTTATTCAGTGGATGTTTGTAGTAATAGGTCTTGGGTAGACTGTAGCTCATACTGCATTAAATAATTATCTAGAATTATTAGCATTATTAAAGAGGTTCACCTAGTGATATTTTCTTTTTGCTGCTAATTTCTTATAAATTTGCTAGTTTTGTTTACTGCTCTGTTTTTGAAAAATGCTGAAATGAAGAGTCCTGTAGCTATCTGGATTATTTATGTAGCTGGGCTAGAAAGTGTAATGTTCTGCACAGATCACACATCTGAATCCTTTGCTTTCATTTATCAAATATGTGCTGCTGCATTTGTGATATGTGCTGAAAAGGAAGCTTATCTAGCAAGATGTTCCATGTGTTCATTTCCAAAATGTAGATTAGGCAAATCATTTACAAATATGATCAAATACATTTGCAAGTATTTTTTTTTTACAAAAAAATGGTCCTATTGGAACATTTTTATTGTAGGTATGCTTAATTTATGTGTTGAATGTCCCCATTATTCAATGAAAATAAAAAGGTTGCAACAGTGAGTTTCTGGACATATAGAACACACTATATTGTCAGTAACAAATTGACTTTCTCTCAGAAAGCATATGATTTCTTCTAGTTACAGAATTTACCAATATATTAAATAAAAGATTAGCAGATTGATTTTGCAGTCACTCAAGCATTTTGGAATCTGTATTTCTGTATGCTTCAGCAAGTCAAACTAAGAAAACAAATGAATTATTAGTTTATAAAAAAGCAGGAGAAGAGAGAGAAATATTTTGTTCAGTCTTGGCTGAAAAAGACCAGTGAAGAAAGACATTGCAGTGAAAAGGGAGATTTTCACAGGTATAGGGAAGTCATTTGGAGGTTTGACTTCAGTAAAAAAGTTTGTGGTTTATTCTACAACAGAAACATTTCTAGAATATGCTTCCACCAATGGAGTAGGATAAGAATCTAAAAATATACCTGTGTGTCCCTTCCTTCCAGGAATGCAAATATGTCATCAGCCATACTATTCACTAGCGATGGCCCATTTGTCAGTGTTACCAAAGCAGTTAACCAGAGCCTAATATTTACAGAAAGGTAGGTAGAGTGATGTTTATTCCTTATACTATGGATAGCTTAAAGCATGGTGATAACAGTTTCCAGCTCGTGTTCATTTGAGAGGTAATATCCAGTACAAAAGATCTAAACTATTTACATACCTAGGTCTTATTCTCTGTCTACTGCAGAAATTTATGCAATATTTCACAACTCGTTTTTCCCCCTTCCAGTCTTGTCCATTTTGTCTACCATAAATTTGAAAGCACAATATTTTGTGAAGTCTTAACACATTTACTGTATAAGGAGAAACACTGTTATTTTTACAAAGCATTTCTATTTAGAGATCTTCAAATTATGTCCACTTTGAAGACGGAGAAATGAGAGGAAAAAGTCTTCTGTCCCTAGTGTGCCTCAGATTCAGTGTAAATACTTTACAAAAATAATGAAAGCATGTGAGTTGGAATCAATCAATCAATCAAAACAAGGAAAGAGAGAAAAGGAAAAAAAAAACTGATATTTCTTTTATATGTTTGATTTATGTTGACATTTTTAATTGAAATTTATATATAAATAAACTTTTTGCATAAATTTAATACATTGACTTCAGTTTATATGTCACAGATACAGTTCTATATATATATATAAATATATATATCTATATATGTATATATACAACATATATAGACATACATAACTGTGTATATACACCTACATATGTCATGTCTACACGTATTTTTATATAATCACATATGTATATACATTATATATATAAAATATGCATGTATGTGTGTATATATATATATGTATGTATATGCATATATACACACACAGAGTTGTATTGGAATTAACAACTTAGGTTCCCTCTACATTCAATAGAGAAGAATTGGCACTTCCAAATTGTGATTTATCTGAACTTTGCTTGAATGAGATGAATCATACTCTATAATCTATTGATTTTATTGATGCACATAAAAGTTCCATAAAAAGTTCCATAAAAGAAGCTTATCTATTCAGACAAATGAATCCCACCTGCATAAGTCTTTTAGATTTCTTTTCCCACTTAGAACTGAATCATTAGATGATCTTCAGGATGCATTAGATTATATTTTGATCTTTCTCCGTCCAAACAACACCAGAAGTGATGCTGAAGGAGCATACAAACTGTCAGTATGTCTTGTAGATTAACTGTAAATGTAACATTTTCACAGGGCTATACTCTTAGGAAATCCTGAGATTTACATTATATCTCTAATAGGAGAAAGACTTGCCATCATTAAATAAAACAATATATAATGTTTTAAATTACTGTCTTTATTCTTATACGATGACTTATTGTAAATGTTTTCCTGGAATCCTACCAAAAGCACTTATGCAGAAAATCACTGTGCAGTTACTAAAATGCTGAAACCTTATGAAGATGGCAGGAGTTCAATTTCTTTCTGTTTTGCTTTGTGAAAAATATCACACAGTAGCAAAACAGGAGAAGATTTTTAAATGCCGTGCTCTATTTTATCCACAGTAAGATTGATCCATTTTACATTTTAATTATACAATGTTAATCCCAAGCATTTATCATTCTCACTGGTGGTTAAAGGGTCATAGAGTAATGGAAGACATTGTATGCTATTTTTCTTTTTTCTAAATAGCTGTCTAAACAATGATTGCCCCAAGGGATCTTAAAAAACAGCTATGATTTAAAGATGTCTTCTCTTAATATCTCTTAAATACTAAAAAGTGATTAATTCAAGAGGAAATGGAAGTTCATTCATATTGATTGTATTTCTGTTACAGAAATAGATTTCTTGCACCATTTTTCATGTGGACAGTTGATTTTTACAGGGTGATACAAATACAACTTCACACACATTTGTTGTTCATATACTGACTGAGAGGAAGTTCATACAGATTTGTTAACTAAAAAAAACATTAACTGGTAATCGAGCTATATGAGGTGTTTCTCCTAGTGCCTTTGGTTTATATTCAAACATAGCTAAAGGCAAAGAAAACAACAGCACAAGTAATATGACTTGAAAGTTCTGGTGCTTAGAGAGTATAACTGTTCTCTGATATGCTTAAAATAGTAAACTCTACCAAGTAACTTCTACTAAAGTAATTAGTAGATGCTGATGGTGGGAGAAAGTCTGTCATTAAATATGACTTCCTCCTTCAAAGTAAAAAATAGGGTACCAATCTGACATGTTGGATACTACATTGGCTACTTGATATACCTGCGTAAGATAAAGGATAGGATCAAATAAATGAGCTAATATAGTGTATCGCTAACCACCCTTTTTAATCCAGCAGAGAAAGCTTGGGGAAGAATTAGTCACTGAGAATTTTGTGTGGAAGATGATATTGGCTTTCTGTGGCTTTGTGCACTTCTGGTTGTCCTCCTTGATGTCTAATTCACTGCCAAATGGGCACTTCATTATGAAGTCAATACAGATTTGAATGCAAATTACAGAATTTGGTTTTCACTTTGTAAATTGCACACTTAACATATATACCAGTATATATTTAATAATATTAATATATTGTATTATATTTATGTACCCATTCTCTTTCTCTGCTTAAAAATAATGTGAAAATACATATTAAAAACTACTCCTTGGCAGAGTTTCTTTCCTCTGATATACTTTCGTATGTAGTAGATTTAAACTGCAAGTACAGTCACTGACCCAAGTGTTCAGATTCATTACAAGGTTTAAGGATATTCTTAAAACCTCTGTGTATCAGAAATGCTTAGTAGGTAAATGGATATGGCATTTTTTTCTACTTTCTGAGATGTTTTCAGTATCTTACCACTAGATATCAATGCAAGTTTTCTTGTTTTCTTTTTTTTAGAGATAGTTTGGTATCAGTGTATCTTTTCACCGAGATTGCCAAGATTGACCAAGATTTTCACCAAATGCATTACAAAATAAGTAACTTAGTATAGAAGTATGGGAGTAGTTAGTTAGCAAAGATATAAAATCCATTTACAATTCTCCTGAGAATCTATTGTATGCAGATGACTTATTTCTCTAAACAAGAGTCTACTTTTATTTCCATTACATATACCATTAAGTGTTCATTTAAAAAGCATATGTTTAATATTGTATGTAATAAGATTATATGCATTTATAATTAAAACATAACTCAAGCATTGAGGACTATAACCCAAATACAATATTTAATATTTTGATACTGATGGAGTAAAATGATGAAATTATGCATACATAAACATATACATACATATATATTTTAAATATATAAATATATATTTGACTGATGTTTAATGTTACCTGATGTGCGGATACTTGTGATTTAATTATGCTTTCATTCTAGAGAGTATTGTTTGAATAATCTGGTGATTTATCTGCAATGTATCTCGAAATGTAAGTACATATATGCTGAGATCATTTCACACAGAAATCAAATAGTTCAGTCCATAAAGCCTAATGTTATCATTTGAATTGGAAGATAAAGGAAACAATTATAACAACCATACTCAAAATCATATAAACACAGGAAAAATTACAGTCTTTTCTTGTTTCTAGTCTTGAATGTATGGTAGAGATGGTTCTACAGTGAAAATATATATCCAAAATCCAGGAAGTCTGGGGAATAATTCATCTAAATCCAAGTTATATATTTATGAAGTTCTGTATTTACCCATAAAATGCCAAACTTTTCTCCACATAGTAGTACTTGTGAAAAGTTGGTCAGGAATTTCAAAGAATCATTTTCCAAGCATTAGTCTTTTCAAACATATTAACTCTCCCTGAGAATATACAAATAGTGATTTTTATTTATTTATTTATTTTACTTTAGCCTGTGGAAAACGTCATGTAACTGAGAACAGCAGAATGAGGATCATAGGTGGAAGTGATGCCAAAGCAGGGGCCTGGCCTTGGATAGTCTCACTTCTTTATAATTTAACACCTGTTTGTGGAGCTTCCCTTGTTAGCGATGAATGGCTGGTGACAGCAGCACACTGTGTCTATGGGTAATGTTCGTTTCTTTTTAAGCTAACCCATGCTGATACTCCCACAAGATTGAACTATGGTGGATATTTGTCAGTAAAGTTGGGTTGGAGTACAACTCTGAGCCATCAGTCAGTTCTCTGTAGGGTAAAACACTCTGCAGATTCATATGTAAATGCATAGTGAACCACACATCCAGGTACCAGGAAAAACACTCTGCAGATTCATATGTAAATATGAACCACACATCCACCAGGTTTGTTCCTTTCTACCTGGTTGGATGGAGCACTAGGTTTGCTCTTCAAATAGCACAAGTCAAGCTGTGGTATATTTAATGATTTTCAAGTTAAAATAATGTTAATTTTCAAACATCAGTGAAAAACAAAACAAAACAAGCAATGTTTTCAGGTTTGAAAATTAGTTTCTTAATGGTTCAAAAAAGTAAAGCTAAAAATGTTCTCAATAAAATTGTCTACATCCCAGCCGAGAACCACAGTACATACAAACGACTAACAATTTTCAGAGCACCATTCTGGAAAGCACCCTAGGGGAAAAAACAACCAAAAAGTAATGAATATGTTTAACAGTGAACAGAGATAAAAACTGAATGTTTTTTTTTAAAAAAATTACTTAGAATATGTACTTAGAATAAAAATAATATAATTTCATAAGCACCTGTTTATCTCCACTGACCATAGGGACTCTTGCAAACCAGCTGAGAGTCACACAACTTTCATGCCATGTCTTTGCCTTTTTATTTTAAGAATGATGATGAAACTTTTGTTTTACACCCAAGCTTGCTGAGGAGACATCAGATATGTGTAATTTGTGATACTAAATAGTTCACCACTAACTCACTGTGTTTAATTACCGTAGTTCAAATCACGGGTGGAGCCCAGCAAAAGGCTCTTTACTTTCTGTTAACCCCTTACTTCATAGTTTAAAGTACAGATTTATGGAAACCAAGAAGCATTTTCTGTCAATAAAGAATTATATTTTAAATATATGTATCAATACTGAGCATTTGCACAGTATATATAATTAATGTGGGCCTCTTTAGTTGAATCTCTGCCAATGATGTAAAAGGGGACCTCACCCCTCATAAATTTCGTTCTTTCCACTCTGAAAGATTGATTTACTGAGCATAACCAAAGTGAATCCTGATTTTTCTGCACTGACTAGGAATACAGATGATGTTATTACATGCACCATTCAATGAAATGATGCATATATTCTACACAATTTCTATAATATTATATGATACTATATATGGGGCGGGAAGGATAAAAATGAAATGTTAATATCGATAATTACAGCACAGCTTTCATTATAAATAACTACGCAGTATAATGCAATGGAGCATGTGATGACATGTGAATGTTCCCTTACTTCATGGTAGGAACTGTATTCCGTAACAAACTATAGAAATGAGGAAGTTCATGTCCTGTTAGTTTGAACACAGTAAATCCACAACTGTCCTGGTATTTCTGCTTTTTTCTGCACTATTTTTACTTAAATTTATAATTTTTTATTCTGATTTTGTGAGTTTTCTCTAAGTGAGGAGTTGGAGTTTTCCCTTAATTCGGAGTATTAAATTTAAATGTTCCTAATTTATACCAAGACAACTTCTTGGAGTCAAACTAAAAGATCAGTAGAAATTGATTCAGTATAACAATCAGAGTGAAGAGATATTTTTGAAACCATGAACTTTGTTATTAAAAAATCAGCAAATTCTAAGTTCTCTTGTTTAAATATAGCCTCCAATCAGCATACATAGCTCAGCAATAAATATAGAATACCTCAATTTGTCTTAATATCCCTTTTTCAATTTAGCTAAATATTAAGAAATTGATTTTCTGAGACTATGAGCCATAGCATTTGCAGCTGCATTGTAGATGTATTTATTCCTCTTTAGATATTCCATGATAATTTTCAAAGTAGGGCCAATATTAATTGCACTGTAGGTAGTGCAAGTCTTCTCTCAAAAGTATTCTCTCCAGTGTTTAAAAACCCACAGTAATTTAGCTAACGTCCTTTCCTTCACTGCACTACAGCCTGATTAATTCTTTATAAATAATGCATTATAAGCTTAACATCAAAATCCAACCACATATTTCTACAATCTTTAATGGCCTAACATAGTATTTTATTACGAATTTGTAAGCACTTCCATGATCTTCTCCTATTTATTACAACAGAATGTACAAATGTTATACATTACCATGAGGTTATAGATTAACATTTTACCTAACATATTACTGAAAATTTTCATTATATTATTTTCATTGATAACTGTAAATATTTTTTGAACTTCCAGGAGGAATTTACAATTATCTCGATGGAAAGCAATTCTTGGTTTGCATGACCAACGGAATACAACAAATGCTTTAACAGTACATCTAGAAATTGATCAAATAATTATAAACCCTCATTATGATAAGAGCACAAAAGACAATGATATTGCGATGATGCATCTTCAATACAAAGTACAATATACAGGTAGATGACTTGGTATTCTTGTATATATAAGACTTACTCTATTGTACAAAACTCTAAGGACACAAGGGTGATGGGATGGCTATGCTTTTAGAAACTAATCATTCTGGAGTCAGTCCAGTACTTCCTGAATATTTTGCCTGAGAAGTGGTATTGAATCAGTGAACATTTTCCTTTATGACTTCATAAAACCCGAATAGAGAAAAGAGGTTGACATTGATTGCTTATTTCCTATTCACAGATTACATACAACCTATCTGCTTACCAGAAAAAAATCAAGAGTTTTTACCAGGAAGTTACTGCTCCATTGCTGGCTGGGGTAGAATTGTGAACCAAGGTGGGTAGTTTGCTTGGCAGATTACGACAGGAATGAAGCAATGAGAAAAAAAAAATGCTCCTGGTTCCACAGGGATTGCCAAGGCCAAATAGGTTAGGGATGTCCTCCTACGTACAGAATTTAGGTAATCAAACACTTCCATCTTTCTGCCCTAAATCTCCTAGATATTGGAGTTATAACATATTTATTAGAAAAAAATACATGTATTTGAAGTCATTAAATTATGAAAAAAAAGTGCTACTGCATCCCCTTTTAATTTGTTAGGATGACTGCTTTTCTCAACACAAAATATGTACATCTTATTTCTAATTGTGAGAGAAGGAGGTGGGAGATTAATGTTTCTATGTGAAAATGATTTCCCAGAAGAGTCAGCATACTGATGATACTGTGAAATGTATGCTCTGTTCACGTGTCACACGCTTGGGATTTGGAGTCTTGTTAAATAATAAACATGTTGTTTAACCTCCACAGTTTCTTGTACACATTTGCTTCCACATTTTCAGAGTAAAATTACATTTGAAACTTTGGGCGGGAATTAATAACAGAAGTTTTTATAAAAAATTGAATTACCTAAAGTTCCACAATGAAATACTGGACACCTGAATAAGTTCAGAATCATTGATTTTACTGACCTTAGTTTATCTATAACTAGATTAGGTCCCATTACAGAAGTGGATTCAGAAGACAGGATTCCCATTACAGAAGACAGGATTCAGTTAATAAGCACAATTTAATCAGTGATTTTATTACAGCGGTATGAACTAGAAGAATACAGGAGTGAAATAGAGCTTCCTGCTGTTCTACAATGTCCCTAGAATTTTGGAATATGAACAAGGTTACTGGTGTTCTGAGTATGTTGTACATGTTTACTACATTGTTTAAATTTACTTTGTATTTTCATCAGGTCCCACATCAAATATATTGCAAGAAGCAGAAGTCCCTCTCATTACAAATGAAAAATGCCAGCAATGGATGCCAGAATATAGTATTACTGAGAATATGATGTGTGCAGGCTATGACAGCGGAGGAGTAGATTCCTGTCAGGTAAATACAGACAAACCATTTCCACTGCCAGCATACAGCACATCTAATTACTGAATAGCTGATCCCTGTCCTCTGATTATTAAAACTGAGGCAGTCACTGTCTGTGCATATAATTTCTACTCAAAGTGTTTTGCCTATTTTATGCTTTTTCAGGATAAATGCTGAAAAATCTATTTTGTATCTTCTTGACATAAACAACTGTGGAGGGATACAAAGAGAGTATGGCAATTTTCTGAACTAAGCATTGAAGAATTCCACAGGGAAAAGAGGAACAAGTTTATAGAAAAGCAGGACACAGCTTTATAAGCAGATCCAAGTCTCAGAAATACCTCAGGAAGGGAAAAAGAGAGAGCAATGATACTTTTTCCCAAAATTTGTAGACTCCTTTTGTGAGTGGTTACCACAACATTTTGGAAAGACTGTCTTTCTGTATTACTCTCATAGGCTGCTTCCTTGGGGCTGTAGTTTGTGTCCACTCTAGATATGCTAATAACATCTCCATGAAGATGTAGTCACTGTTGGTGGTCATGTAATTTTGCTTCCAGTAGAGTAGAGTCTATGGTACCGAGACTGAGTGGTTCTCCCAAAGTCTGATGAGGAGCATTCTTTGGCAGTTGCTTTTGCCTTACCCTCCAACCCTATGCTGCAAGAGCAGTGACTTTGGCTAGTTTAATGCATAGTTCAGAAGGAAGA